AATATACAGAGTGTTCAGTGGACCAACGTGTTTTAAATGTTTATCATACACCTTAATTTGTATTGTTGTACCGGTACCTATTTACAATGGAGTGTTTACTATTGATCATGGTTGTCTATAATTCTTAATCAAAAGGTTAAAATAGAACATGAAAATTACATTAATTAGCCTACTCATATTTTCTGGATGTCCACAATTTCCTGGTAAAAATTTTGTCTTACAGAATTATATATAAGGATCTTATTTTCTTATTTTAAAATTGGTGTTCTTCTGTATAATGTCATGTTTAGCAATATAACGTTCCATTACGAACAGTTATATAATCTTAATATTACAGTAACTCTTTCAATCATTTCTTATTGCATTATGTTATATCTATTGTACTGGTTGGTGTCTGCCTTTTTGACTACTTTTGCCGATATTTTGTCTTATTATTCAATACTGACAGATCATCACGAGATTATTGTTATACATGTGTATTTAATCATTGGACAATTTCCCATTATGTAATACGATACAGAATAATAAAAGTGCAGAAGGCTTTTACAGTCTTGAAAATGAATGTTAAATAGGCTACTTTTATTTATAATAGACATATCATTAAGGTACATCAATTATAGGTCTACTCTTTGTGATATGCATAATTGTCTGAGACAAACATTCAGGCACGTTGCCCATATTTTTTTTTAAATAATAGTGGTTTTCAGTAACTGGATTAAACTTGTAATAATTTTATGAATAAATGCATGATAAGTTATAGAAAGTTATTAATCCTAAATTCCAGTTTACTACATACTTTTAGAGAGTTTACTTTGATGCATTCATTCAGCTTAGTGAAAGAATACACAATGGAGTCAGTGAATGTTATTCAACTAAAGAAGTGATGCGCATGTTTACTGGCGCTACTCAGCAACAAAAATCATTGATCTCTCAAAGTTACTTACCCAGATGGTGACATCAAAAAGGCCCAAACACCATACTATAAACAGTTTCTCAGACCAGAGTCAATTTAATGCGCTTGAATTGTGGCATTTATTAATTCGGCTTATATTTCTCGTAACCAACAGATTGTTCATCTGCAGAAGAAGTTCATTGTGTTCTTATCGTGTCTAATAACATCCAAACACAGAAACCTTAAATTACAGTATTACCTATATCTTGACAGATGGTTTGCAGTAGCATCTGAGCCAGTAGAGCCACTGGGGCGGAGCCCGAAAGGATTTTTGGGATAATAATATGCTTTAATATTAATCGGGAATGTGAGCTATCATCATGCCAAATTTAAGCCCAATCCGTCCAGTAGTTTATGCGTGATTGAGCAACACACACACACACACAAACACACACACACAAACTCACAAACTTTCAGATTTATAATATTAGTAAGATTAAAAAATAAACCATCTGTTTAACATTAAATGCAAACTCGAAGCAAAGTCAATATTTATCCACAAATCTAGGGAATTAAAACGCGTTGTTTTAAGATTGACTGGGGATAAAAAGTAAACATTACACAAACACATTATATATAAATAAATATATGTATATGTACGTGTTTAGAAATGCAAACATATATATTATTTAGAAACATATCACAAAACAACAAATAATAGGCCTCGGAAGGCAGGCGGTTGGGTTGACGACGTGACGGCGATTATTTGAACGCCTTCTATGTGAGGGACGCAATAGTTCATACTTTTGGACCAAACGAACTCGTATTAGAGTTTTGGATAAAACGACCCGATCGAATGGTCCACAGTGAAACGTACAGTCTATTTCATAAGTTTACTCCACAATACACAATTGTAATTCTGGTTTTGCCTGTACTTTTGGACCAAACGATTTTGGACCAAACGAACTGTTTTAAAACTTGTGGACCAAACGATTTTGGACCAAACGAACTGTTTTAAAACTTGTGGACCAAACGATTTTGGACCAAACGATTTTGGACCAAATGAAATACTCCCCATCTGGATCATAAAACGATTTTGGACCAAACGAACTGTTTTACAAGTGTTGGACCAAACGATTTTGGACCAAACGAACTGTTTTACAATTTGTGGACCAAACGATTTTGGACCAAATGAAATACTCCCCTTGAAATAACTATTAACTATAACAGCAAAATGTGCTCAGACAAAAAAAAGAAAGTGAAATGACTAAACATGGAGGGTGGCAGAGTGTTCTCTGTGACCATTTGGCATTCAACAGCACTTCAATATACTAAATTATTAATTTTTTAAGCTCTACAAAATAGTTTAAAAATAAATTCAAAATCTGTTGTTTTTGGGGTTGAAAATAGGAAAAATCCATTTTTACCCCATAAAACCCCCCATAAACCCCCGTTCCCATAGTCCAATCATGCTGGTTCGCAAACTCGTTTGAATAAACGTAGGTTTACACGTTTGTACCAAATTTCATCACAATACGATAATTTTTTCTTGAGTTATCACGGTAACGGATATATATATATACTAGCTGTGTGCCCGTTCTACGCACGGGGATCTTATAGTAGTCAGTTGAAACCTTATTATATAAAGAACAGCAGTTGGTTTGCATATTTTCAGATGTGCTGGCAAAACTATTATATATAAACCTATAATGACATATGAAGAAAAAGCAAAACTTTTACAGTAAGACATCAGTTAAATTGAATACTACTGTAATAAATAAGGTACAACACTAACGATAACTAATTTGTAGATTTGTTGGTACGTAAACATTATTCTTGTTGATACCACCGGTTCTAAGGAAAAAACCAGTACCAAAAACCAACGTTTACAGTTAAGAACTATAGTACATCCGACCAATTAAATGCGTTAATCCAGTTCCGAGGCTATTGATCTCTCTTGGTTTTGGATTTTCTGACAAAAAGTTATCGAAAATCAAAGTTATTTCCCATTAATTGGATTATTTGTAAACAACTTTTAATGTAAACATTTTGGTGACAGTTTGAACAAAACAACCTCATCCAAACAGCTTTTTGTTATTTAAAATAATTGCGTATTCACTAAACTATGTTTCGTATATGTAGTTAACATAAGAAGGAAATGTGAAAAAAATCACACAATGTTGTGTTTTTTTACGTTTTTAATTTGATTTCCTAAGTAGGTAGGCCATGCATTGTAGGGAAAGTACCGGCATCAAGGATCGTCGTCGAATAGGTTGTCATGAATAATTGGGTAGGCCTACGTACCCAAGATACAGTCTATGGGCTTATTGGCTGTATGGTCCAGCGATTGCAGCACATAGCGGTGAGTAGAAACCGAAAGTGACACATTGGAAAAGCGAGTTTAGCATCATCCGTAAACCGGCAAACCTCTGTTACAATCATCCACTGCAGTTATGATTTTTCACTTTACACTTCACACAACCGCAATTGAAACGCCGTCAATGAGTGAAAACCTAGTTAGTAAGCTATTGGCGACGATGATTTTATAAATGTAAGTTCCCAGCCCTATAAAACACTGATTCAAGGTCTTTTTCCCGGTTATCAAAACTTCAGAACAATTTTATACACAAAGAATCTCTAATTTCATTTACGGTTACAATACACATTATTGAACTTTCAAATAATTAAATCCTTTATGTAAGGAAAATCGTTTTTAATCTCACTTGGTTTGGATTTTGCTTTCAAAACGTTATTAAAAATCTTTGCGGTATTTGTAAACAACATTTAATGTAAACATATCAGTGACAGCTAGAAAAAATAATCTTGATCCGAACACCTGTTCGTTATTTCATAGATGATTATGTGATGGACATATTAGGAGAAAACTTGACAAAAATCGCACGAAATCGGGTTTTTAAACATCCGTCATTTTATTCAAAAAATAGTGAAGCCATATTTTAACGGTTAAAGACAATCTCACCAATCCAGTGAATACATTAAAATGATTTGGATCATGATAGGTACTCTCGTTTTTCAGGAGAAGGCTGCGTAAAATGCCTCTTGGGCCGTAACAGACAGACCGACAGACAGAAATAGAGATGAGACTTGTTGTTGCTTCTTAAATGTATAAAACGGAAAAATAATCTAAAAATTTATAATTTTGAGCAATGTACAGACAAAACTCTAATTTTATTTATATAGATATATATCTAAATATATAAAAGGCAAAGCCCTCACTGACTGACTCACACACTCACTCACTCACTCATCACTAATTCTCCCACTTCCCATTTCCCTAGGAGGCTGAAATTCGGTACACCGATTCTTTGGGCATTAAATAGGAAAACTTAGTAGTTTTTATTCTGATCGGGCTTTCGGGCTCCGCCCCAGTGGCTCTGGAGTTTCCCATGTTAACCTTATGATTTTTCATATTTAAAAGGAATTTCTTAACAGCAATTTCAATTAAACAAGTTGGTTCTGTTCTATGATGTTCAATAGCATTAAAGTTACAAGGATTACCAACAGCGTGCAGCACTATTATTTTTTTAAATTTATGACTACAGCCAATTTGCAACCAAAAGGTGAGTGAGCGTAGCGAACGAACTTTAACCTGGAAGCAAGTTAGCGTAGCAAACGAGCTAACCTGAAGGCAAGTGAGCGGAGAGAAAGAGCTCCAACCCAAAGGTGAGTGAGCGTAGCAAACGAACTTCAACCAGGACGTGATTGAGCCATGCGAACGAACTTCAACCAGGACGTGATTGAGCCATGCGAACGAGCTCACTTGTGAAGTTAAACGGGGCAAAGCCCGCGGGTACAGCTAGTATATATATATATATATATAAATTTGAACGGATGGTGTTTTTGGCCTCTGGGGACCTCAAAACGAAAAAGTAAAATCGGTCGTGGGTCTTGGTCTTACCATGAGACCTACGATAATTGCTTATTTCCTATATGGGAAATTCGCTAATGTAAAAATTAGTCCGTTAAGTATTTATTTATTGAAACCCATTAAAAATGTCTATGTTCTTGATAACTTGACAACCCACAACCTCTGGGTCCACTGATTGACAAGTTAGTAAGGATTTACTGTAATACACCTATAATTTACCTGTTTTAGGCCTAATCAATGAAAGATGTAGCACTGAGAACTCCTACTCAATAGGTAATCTTGTGACCTGTAAATACATTTCTGTTAATAACTTTTAAGAGTACATTCTAAGCAAAATACTTATCACAGGCTTATAGATAAAGGGACTTACAATTTTGTCTGTAAATCATGTTATGGAACTTAGCCTTGTTACTAAGCTAGGCTCCTACCTTGCAACCCAGTGGGTGACGCGGCGCGGCACGGCGCGACGCGGTGGAAAAAAGTTATCACGTATCCCTGCCATGTTATCTTATAGGCTGACGCCCACCTAGCAACACAGCGGGTGGCGTGACATGGCGTGGAAATAGAACTTATCCTCGAATCCAGCAGTGAGAATTCGGTGGAGAAGTTCTTCCTCTTTTTTGCAACGCCTCCGTTGAGTTGCCAGTTGGGTGCGGGGTAGAGGCGCGGAAACAGCGTCTGCCCCTCGTCTGCTGCTCTTTCAGGTGTTGTTGGAAAGTCCCGTGAGCCCTTCAGGCATTTTCGGGTGCGAAGTACACTAACAGTCTAGTCTGCAGTCTCGCTAGCAACCCGGCACGTGGCAGTGAAGTTTGTAGACTTGGCATTTCAATTTGGCATTATTGACCTTTTACATGAGATTAATGATTTCGACGCTATTCAATTTTAGTCAATCATACAAAATCTTGAGAAGGTAGTGAACAAATATAACTCACTCATTAGGCTGTTTTAAAATAATGGTATATATATTTAAATGCTCCCGCTGCAGCAAACCTGCCAACTAAGCGAATTTCCATTTGCCTGGAGTGATTTTCAATTAATCTATTAAATTAACAACCAACCTCTATTATTAATGCTTAACAAGTACCTAGGTTAGCTGCTACAGGGAAACTAATAAAGTGTGTTTTTTATTAAAATATCAATAGCTTAGTACGAAATAAATAAATCCGCCAAGTTTGATCAAAATATATCCATAAACAAGCCAACTACAACATTTTACAATGTGCTCTATAAGAATAACATGGGAATTTTAAATTAAAATTTTTTTGAATTTTCTCCATAACCATTCACTGTACAAACACTGTTTGATATACTAAATTATTTGTTTTTTTTAAGCTCTTTATAAAAGGTCTGGAGAAAAATTGATAAATTTTGTGTTTTAAGGGTAAAAAATTAGAAAACCCCGTTTTTACCCCATAAAACGCTAACTCATTCAAGTTTATCCCGCCTTACACCTTCAAACCAAATTTTATCAAAATCAGACAAGTTATCGTCCCGACGGACACACACACATATATATATATAAATATATATATATATATATAAATATATATATATATATATATAAATTTTAACAAATTGTGTTTTTGGCCTCTGGGGACATCAAAATGAAAAAGTAAATCGGTCCCGGGCCTAGGTCTTACCATAAGACCTACAGTAATAGCTACTTCCCTATAGGGAAATTCGCTAATAAATACGTATTTAAGAAATTTGTACAAAAGTAAGAACCTACATAACAAACACGAAAGTTAAAACAAAAGTAGTGATAAAACGTAAGTGTACTATGAATCCACCTAAAAAATTTTAGGTACTTTCCTGTTATAGGGAACATTCATTATTATCAATGATTTTCAATCGATATATCGATATTAACCAATTGAAACCTATCAGCTGACAACTATGATAAATAAATATTGTTCAGTATAAAAAAATATTGAAATGAAACTGTTCCAAACCAACCTAACAAAACTAACCAAATTTGCTGTAACATTTAAAAATTCCGTTTAATATTCCCCACATGCCTTTTCTGTAATCAAACGGAATTTTTAAAATGGTACAGCAAGTTTGGTTGGTTATGTTAGGTTAGCTTAGAACAGTTTTAATCCATAATAGACTTGATCTTAGCCTAAACAAGATAGTTGTCAATTTGTAACGGATCGTAAAGGGAAAGAAAAATATCGATATATCGATTAAAAATTATCGATAATAATGAATGTTCCCTTTAACAGGAAAGTACCAAATTTTAACCTAAAATTGAATTGAATTGAAATTGATTGACAATATTTTGTACATTCCTTCCTTATTTCTTATTTAAACATATCGTGAAGTTCATAAAACCTTTCTGTTGACAAATGGAAATATTGGAAGAATTTTCTTTCATCCTCTTAACAGGTCACTTAACAGATGGTGGAATTCTCCGTATTATGTCTTTTCTGATTAATTTCATGCACCCAAATGCGCCTCCGACGTTTCTCTTCTGTCTCTGCTTGGAGCAAGCAAAATAAGAAAACATTTTCTTCATCTAAACTTGACTCAGTCATTATACACAAAATTTCACTCCAAGGAACATAAAGTCCCGTACACACTCTGTAAACTATGACTGAACTAGATAAAGTACTGTGCATCCCCTCCACAAGAATAATTCTCCGTGCCGCCCCGTGCTTCCGCTAGAGTTGTCAGATGTGCGCGCGGCCTTGGAGAAGAAGAGGGAAGTTTTAACTTTAAGGCCTTTATTTGATTGTAATAAAAGCGTGAGAATTAAATAACTTATACAAATGTTGATTAATTGGTGAAACCACAATGTCACATTGTTTTTTTATAAATATTAGAGACTTAATCATCACTTATCCCCATTAGCACATCAGGCTACCAGGAGTAAATGCAGTTAAGACACCAGCACACACACTGCACCTATGAGGCTATGAACAAGAACAACATTTAGCTTAACACGTTCACTACCAACATGTTGCCTTCACCACAGACCAGTGTCGACTATGGTTGACCGAGAACTCACTGTTGTTTACCCCAACATGTATATACTTTAAAGCTTTTCACAAAAATTTACACTTTATTTTATCAACTTAGTTGTTAGTTGTAGTGTAGGCCTAATGCAATAACTTAACCCCTTATTGCAATAGGCCTAAATATGCTGGTGCTGTGGTTTCCACGTGGGAGATTTTCCCCCATAAGAATAGCAGTATTTTCGTTGCACACAAATTCCTACAGATCTTGTGCGCTAGTTAGCCAAGTCATTGCTTTAAATATGTGATAGAATTTTTTATTGCTATTTAATGTAAATAAATATTACTAAGGGCCTATTGAGCTAAAAAACTAATGGGAACTATCGGTCTTTTGGAAGGTTTATACAACTTGTTTTAAACTTTTGATTGTCAAACATGTACCGGTAAGTTAAACTTTTGCTTTATTTTTACCTCATGTTTATAAAACTATTGTTGTCGTTTACAGCAAGTTGTGTGCGCCAAATTGTCAAACATGTTTAACTTGACATGACCTTGTCTTTATACAACTATTGTTGTACATAGTTGTTGGCGGCAAGTGCTTGTGATTTCCTGTGCTAGAAAGAAAAGTGCAAGGCATCACTTTTGGGTAGGGTACGTCCTTCACTACGAGCTAACTTAAGCCCCGTTTACACCGGAGTTAGTAGGCTAACACGTGTTTACAACGAATGTTCTTAAAATCCCAAGAAACATTACTTTTTGAACAGTAACATTTTGATGTTGGAAACAGTTTTTACAACAAAAATTTTGTTTCCCTCCAGTTGAGTTGTCGGTAAAGCCGCGTTTACACCGAAGTTTCAAACAAAAAGTTGCAAACAGCAGATTCAAACAGTAGTTTCAATAATAGAAGTTTGGAACTTTTATTTCATGGTTTTATTTCCATGTTTCATGAAAATGTTTGAAACACTTTCGACTTTGATTATGACTCGCCTATGTTCTGGTTCCTGGGATCAGTCCTTCAGAGGATGTCAAGTGTCGAGGATGTCATTTTGAATGAAATGTCATTCCATACATAGTTTTTCAAGTTTTTATTTTTGTAATCGGAAATAGTTTGGTTGCACAGGACTTGTTGCTCTCTGTACACGATAGTTAACTTTAGAATATTGTCATCTACCCACTCCATCTCATTCATTAAATTTTCCATTGTCACTCACCACTGATCACTCACAACACGCACGAGAGAACTATTAGCAGTCCAGACAGGTTTATGACACTTGAGTCGAGACACAGGGTGGTGCGAGTGATCACGTGAGTGAGAGTGGAGGTGGCAGTGTAGGGGATGGTGGGGAAATGTTTATGTTTTGTGTTTCAACGGCACATAGTGACCGAAACCGGTGTTGCAAACAAAAGTTTGCAACTCCCTTTGATCTTTGCCAAATTCAGGTGGAAACAAAAATTTCTGTTGCAAACACTGAAAAACTGTTTGCAAGAGCGAAATGTTTTGTGCGTTTTTAGAGATGTTTGCAATATCTGTTTGCAACTCGTGTTTCAAACTGAGGTGTAAACGCGGCTTAAAGATCAAAGGGTGTTCAAAACATTAGGAAACATTTGTTTTGGAACCTGTATGTTTCTGTACTTCCAAGATGTTTACAACACTTACACACTACCCCCGACCTATCGACCACCGGGCCCTCGGCGCCAGTCAGTCTCCCGCGACTGACCTTGTGTTCTTGGGAATGGTGATTATGTTCCCAAAAAAATAAAAGAATGGTGTACTATTTGTTGTAAACTTTTGATTTAGAAACATTTGTTTCACAAACAAGTGGGTAACTAAGGCTACTTTCCTGTTAAGGGGAACATTCATTATTATCGATACCGGTATCTTTTTCGGTATATGTATCGATATTTTAATTTTCCTTGTCAATCCATTATCCTTTGTTTTTATCTTCAAACACATTTAGCCTACATTACAAATTAATTGACAATGAAATATGGATTAAGAAATGAAACTATTCTAAACTAACCTAACATATCCAACCATACTTGGTGTAGCATTTTAAAATTCCACTTTATAACAGAAAACACATGCGGGGAACATCAAACTTCTGAAATGTTACAGAAAGTTTGGTTAGAGAGAGAGAAAGAGAGAATCTTTGTTGTACAATCTTCAAGATTATCAATGGAGTCAGAATACATATAGTCTAATAAAATGAAACCTAAGATCTTAATTTACAATTCAAAGTTCTGATAGTCCATGAATTCACTCATTTTGTAAAATGGATGCAGGAGTAACTTAGCCATTCGGAGAGTCTTCTCTTGAACATATTAGGGG